TTGAGACCATATATCCACGGACTGGAAACAACATTTTAGTTTCAGTATTTGTTGTTTTGTATGTATGTGCATTGAAAACGGGCAAAAGTGTGCATTCTATCTCTGCGAAACCCCCCTCCCTATGCAGAAAACAAGGTAACCCAAATCAAGCAAACAACTCAAAGATACGCTTAAGCTTTTGGGGGCATGCCATCTATGCTTTGCCCCGTCCCTGTGCAGGAAATATCTCTCAAAAGCATCCCAAATGTGTATACATATTGGTTGCTCAAAAAGGCTAAAGGTGTGTAACACTCTGACAGGCTGTTTTTGCATTCTATCTTTGTTTCATCCCTCCCTGTGCAGACAAAGTGCTAAAACCAGGTCTAAGCTTTTTGGAGCATTCTATCTGCACTTCGCCCTGCCCCTGTGCATGAAATATAGCCTTGCCATGTCCAAAATGGCTCGCGGCATTCTAACACCCCCAAAACGGACGCATTCTAAGTGGACCCGGATATCGTTTTGGAGTTCGCCCAGGCATTCTAACTTTCAGTCCGTAGGTATATATATTACTATATATGAATAGTATATAATATAAAAAAATATATTAAATTATATTACTGTATACATATTGTATATTATATATAGTGTATACGGTGACCCGGCCAGTCGGTTTAGTTTGTTTCATAGTGTTGTTTCAAGAAAATATTCATGTTGAATCGTTGTGTCATGTACTCCAAGACCAGGAGGGGCTGCGCTCCTCCTCAGATCCTTTTGGTGCTCAGCCTTTTAATGATTTGTTTGGTCTGCCAAGGATGACCTGGTGAAGTCGAAACAACAAACATCTAGTAGTATTGCCAGGAGCCACTAATAACTTCTTGTAACTAGTAGCGATGGCCTCCAACCTAATAGCGATGGCCTCCACCTAGTAACTTAGTAGCTTCTATAGCTACTAGTAGCTTCTTGTTCCATGTTTTGGTCTCGGTGTGTTTTGACTTTGGAAGTGCCCGTATGTAGACTTAAACAGCCATTTTGACAGGTGCGAATGCTCAAGCGGCAGTTTGAGGGAGTAAATCCAAGCATTAAGGTTGGTGGGTAAGCAGCGCATATTGTAATTGTTGCATGCACATTGCCGCAAAGCGCACTATACCGGAAGAGGTGGTTGTGAGTCATGTGATTTATGGCTTTGAGCCTGAGTGGTACTGCATGCTGCTGGGTGTGTGTGTCCAACCCTGGACAAAGGGTCTTACCCCACCACTTTTAC